CTCATGATGATCGTTCCGATGACAATTCGAAGATGACAATAAGAAGTTTCTGGAGAGTAAACGCGCGCACATTTACGCACATACATCAATACAACACACACATACACAACATCCATTCAATCGGTGTCGTTATGTTTCTCTTCAACTTTCTATTTTCTTTACCGGACTTAATTTTATTCATAGGTAAGTTAGGGATTGAGATAAGTTGAACAATCGTAGGTAGGCTAGGGCTTAACATTAGTTAAAAAGTTTTAAGTAAAATAAAAACGCTGAAATATGTAAAATAAAATACCTAAAACATGTAAAATTCCAAAAACGTAGAAAAACATATTTGTAGGTAGGTGAGTTGAGTTAATGATTATAAGTAAGCTAGGGCCCTGAGAGTAATTTAATTGTAGGTAGGTGACTGACTACTATTCTTGCGACTTTTTACTAGTTTTTTGTGATGTGTTTGTTTTCGCTTCACAGCCCCACACCAACAAAACAAACTACATTTTATTCTCGTCGTCGCCTTAAATTTTACTTTTTTGAACAATCTTTTTAATAATGTTTATTTATTTGATTATTTATTAAATGTTGACTGGTTTCTAGTTTTTTTAATTTGGTTATATAATTTTTGGATATTTCTTGATTTAATAAAAGCAACTATTGTGTTTTTCTTTCTTTACTAAAATCTCGAAATTGTTTGTAAATCTGTACAGTTAAGTGTTTGTTCGAGTTTGAACAAGCCTTGCAAATATTTTTCAAATATGGTTCATTGATTGGTCGATTGGTTGGTTTATTAGTTGATTGAATAAATGGTTGGTTGTTTGATTGGTTGATTGATTGATTGGTTTGTTGGATGATTGGTTGATTGATTGATTTATTTAATAGTATTGTATATATGAAAAAAATCCGATTAAGCCAACATACGGCTTTACTTGGCCACTGTATTTCACCAAACAAAAGCAACTTCTTTATTTATATATTTATCATCCATCAAACTATCCACCCATCCCCTCATTCATCCATCTATCCAGCCATGGATAAACATAAAAATATAAATACGTGTTGAATATATACTATAAGTTTTACTAATAAAATATACACGCCTATATTGTATTATTTTCTCATTCTCTCTTTCTCTTTCCCTCTCTCTCTCTCTCTCTCTCTCTATATATATATATATATATATATATATATATATATATATATATATATATATATAGACATAACTAAGCCATGTTCATACCTAGCGCAAGAAAATATGTTATATCAATCAATTCACACAGATGATTGGTTGCACGCGTCCGATCGATACTGTTGATGTTTTGTATCAGTCTGCTGTACGTACATACTCATACAAGTGTGTATACAATTTTGTATACAAATTTGTATGAGGTTTGTGTGTACGATTGTGTGAACAATTGTGTACAGGAGTATTGTCAATAAAAAGATACGTCTAAGAAATTTTTACACATACACACAGATATGTCTTTACGTGTATTGTGCGTATTTCCAAGTTAACTTTTCATGTCATGTTATATATTTCTTTCACATTGGTATTACGGTAATGTATGAGTATTGTTTTGTCTGTGTCTGTGTGTATGTGTTTGTTTGCTTGTGTGTGCGCGTGTTTGTGTGTGTGTGACTAACACATAAATAAATAATTAATAAATAATATTGAGTAAAATTTTTATAAAAAACATCATTATATCCAAGATAACAAGATGAAGTTACATACGCTTTTAAAATAACTCAAGTGCGTGGTTGTAGAGTGTACGGTATAGTTTTGTCGGCGTAAAAATATAAATAAATAAAAAAAAACAAATAAACAAAGAAATAAAAAAGAAATACAATAAAGAAATACAGTAAAAGATAGAGAAATAATATTTAAATTTTAAAATCGCAATCAAATCTATCAATTCGCATGGATTACTATTTATCTGGCATACAGGTTTGGCCATTAATATTTTAATTTCTTATCAATGAATTTTATAACTAATTTTAAAAAGTTCTTAAAATTTTATACTATGTACGTAAAATAATCGCCCTACTTCTACTACTACTGCTACTACTAATACTACTACTGCTGCTACTACTACTACTACTATTATAACTACTATTACTATTACCACTACTCCTACTACTACTACTGCTGCTGCAGCTGTTTCTACTACTACTACCCCTAATAATAATAATAATAACAAAAAGGAGCAAACGACGACAACAACATTCGATGTAGTATTAAAAAGACACGAGGGCAAAAAAAATCTTGGGTTCAGTATTATTGGGGGCGCAGACAGCCCTAGGGGTAACGTGGGCATCCAGGTTAAATCCATACTACCAGATGGCCTTGCTAAAGAGGACGGAAGATTGAGAGAAGGTTATTTTTATTTTTTTATTGTTTTGCTTTTAAGTTAGTTTTTTAAAATTATTTTTAATATATATAATATAATTAATCAAAAATTAATTTATTTGAGGATTTTATTGATATAATAGGAAAATTATTTAATACAATAAAAGAATTATTTGATATAATTGGATATTAATCAATGTAATTGTGAAATTATTTTATTTTGACCCATCAAACAAATGCACTTAGATGTAAGTTTATTTTGAAAACTAACTACAACGCATTCATTATTAATTCGTTCGTTCATTTCTACGCACGCATACCTGATGCATTTCTTGCTACAACGAACAGGTGACGAGATAGCAGCTGTCAATGGAGCCAGTTTGGCTAACCTAACACACGTTGAAGCCCTCCTTACATTTAAAAAAGTCAAATCTGATGAGTTGGTACTCACCGTTAGAAGGAAATTTAAAAAGTTGGGTGTGTTTTTTGTGTTGTAAATTTTTTAGTGTTTGTGAAATTAAAGTTGGGAATTAATTTAATTAAAAATATATATATATAAACTAAATTATAGTTATGACAAAAAATTTATTATCCATGTATCGTGAAAATAAATTGTATAGATGAGTATCATTTACACGAGCAGACCCATCGAAAAACTGGATCCGAAACCGACTTACTCGATTCTGCCGACTAAAATATCGACAACCACTGAACCTGACAATACCGAATTGCAAGTGAACGCCTCAACAAACGACCAACAACGGATTGTTGATGATGAGAAGGATGGTGAGGATCTGAAGTACGGATGCATTCCAAAAGGCCAGGTGGCGATGAAGAGGGAGGCCTTGTTTGAATTGCTCTCCCAGAAAATGTCTCCTGAGAAATCTCCGAAACACGCGCATAACAATCACAAATCACAACAACATGCAACGGATAGGCGGTCGCCTGATAAAATGATTCGAATTCCAACACCGATTGCCATCTGCGAAGATTACAGAAAACCAAACTCCAGCGAAAACGACTCAGGAACTGGTTTGCAGCGAATACGGTTGAATCTAAAAGTAGACGACGACTACAACGACGAGAATAAAGATAGTGTTAACTACACTTCAGCAAAACCTGAAATTTCCCACGAAACAATGAAGCGATTCCTCCTCCATCGTCTGCCTGGAGAATCATTGGGACTTGAAGTCGACATCAAACGATCCTTGGGTGACAGTGGTCCTCTGCATGGAGTTTACATCAGCGGGATAACCCCGGCCGGAGCTGCAGACAAAGCGACGTCTCATGGTGCGTCAAACGTTCAAAAAATTTGCGTCGGAGATAAAATTGTTGAGATAAATGGTAGGCGTTTGAGTTCTGTGAGTCATTCGGAGGCTATCCAGATATTAAATGAAATGCCTCTTAGAGTTGAGTTGTTGCTCACATCAGGTCACAATGAGAAGAAAACGTACGTAGATGAGGTCGATTCGAAAAATATTGCTGATCCAAATAAGAGGTTCAGAGGGAAAACATTGAACAACTCGGGCGATGATCACGTTGTAACTAGGCAGGACAGCAGATCACATACGAAGAAACAACAAAACAATAAAACTTTCACACCAGAAAATACATTCAAAAATGATTTTTATTCAAACCAAACGTTCAATCGAAATGAAGATTCAGATGAGTACAGAAATTATTCTGACGAGGAAAACGATTTCAATTCTACAAACAGAAAAGAAAAGCACAGCAGTCACAGCAACAGCAGTTGTAACGGGATTTTATACGCCATGCAATCGTGCAAAGCGAGCATTTTACACGATGGCTACGAGCTGAGGAAGCTGGCCGTCAAAAAACGCAGAGAGGAGGAGCTTGGTCTGGTAGTGGAGAAGTGTTACGTCGAACCGTACGAATATTTGAAGGTTGTATTAGACATTTTTACAAAATATTTTGTAACTGACATTTCAATCACAAATTTTTACGATAAAACTTAGTTTTAACATTTTTATTTTAAAAACATTTGTAGTAGTTTTGTTAAGGGTTCAAATAGAAATATTTATTAAAAAAAAATAATTTTGAAACAAATATTTACGACAAAAACCTAATTTTACAACAAATATTAACGATAGAACTTCGTTTGCAGGTAGTTGACATCCATCCTTACAGCGTTTTTGCGAAATCTAACCTCGTGCACTGCGGAGATCTTCTCGTTTCTTACAATGGTTTGCCTCTTGAAAACATCAATAAAAAGAAATTTGAAAATCTCGTGAAAGAGACGGGCATCATTTTGGAAGACGTCAATATTGAAGTCTTGCGTCAGAGGTCGCCCAAACACCACAACCAACTAGGTTATTCAAGACAAAATGATTCAATAAGCGAGGACACAAGCAATCCGTTTCTTCGCCACAATCCTGACAAATATTGCTGGTCAACCAGTACTTTATTGGAAGATATTGACGAAGAAAGCGAACCAAATGACAAAATTCGTACTAACCAGCGACACAGATTAAGATCAGGCAACCGAGGAAAAACTCCATCGCCTACAAGAAAAGCTCAAAAGTTTTCAAATTGGAATAACTTCATGGATTCGAGTCAGTCTAGAGATTCCGGTATCACTGAAGACGACAAATCATTGAGAAATTTTCACAACTGGACACCTGCTGAGAATGAAGAGACAGGTCCTGAGTCAGACGTTGATGGTTTGAGCAACTGTGAAAATGCATCTCCCACCAATTATTACGTCTCTGAGTACAGGTTCTTTGATGGCAGTGTAGATGAGAACGAGGTCGTGTTGACGGGTGTCTACAAAAGACCATTCGATGATAGTCACTCAACTTTTTACACTCATTCGTTGGAAAGAAACAAGTTTCTTTCAAATGCTGAATCAGATATGTACTTTCTTTCAAAAAGTTCATCACTACCGCCTGCTAAATCTTTAAAATTTTCTTTACATGATGAAAACGTAAAAGCGTACGACAATCAAAGTCGTGGTGAATCAAAAGGTCAAATGAAGTCACCGGTCACCCACGACACAAGTCCTTACAGTTCGTACAGAAGCTCTCCGACCAGATCCTCAACGACAAGCCCAGAAAGAAACTCGCCTCTTCAACAACTTTCAACCAAAAGTCCAGTAAATACGAGAGCCACGAGTCACTTGTTCGTGCCACACCTCAGTCCGGGTAGGTACTCTTCATCATCCATTCGCAACCAATTCAGATCAACGAACGAACATGCTGGAAGTGACAGAAGAGTGGAAAGTTACGCAACAAAAAACAGTTTAGACGATAGCTGGATTGAAAATGAGATAGCTAACAATCTCAGAAGAGAACAAGAATCCTTAAAATTTCACAGCAACAACTTGGACAAAAAGTATTCTTTCAGCAACCCTAAATTAGCTGACAATCATTTTACATTGAGTCACAAGGAAGCACCCTTAACAAACAAAGAGTCTCAACCTATTGCGTCAATTAACAGAAATAATTTCGCAGATAAATATGCCAATGTTTCAGATGAAAAACGTCGTTTGTTTCTAACGAGCCTCAAGTTGCTACTTCAAGATTCAGCGAAATTGACTATGCTCTCAAAATTTCGTTCTCCTAGCGAACCTTTTCGCGTAAATTTGATGCAAAGTATTTTCGGTCTGGGCATCGACCTTCACCTCACACCTTACGGAGGAGTAGTGATGGAGATCCAAGATTCAAGCCCTGTTGGCAGGAATAGAGAAATAAGGTAGGGTGATGATTCTTTCTGATTAGTGAATAATAAGTTTTATTTTGTGATGTTTCATGCTGATCACCACAGAGTAGGAGATTGTATCGTAGCCGTAAACAACACACCCCTAGCAACATTTGATTCAGCAGGTCAGTTGCGTCATTTCATTGGCTCCATACCACTCGGTCCAGTTAGACTGATCGTTTGCGTGAATCCTGAAGATCTCGTTCACTGGATGCAACCTGCATCACGAGGTAGACATTTGTTAAATGCTTGATGTATGTGGTAATTTAAGAAACGATTGAATGTTCATTCCTCCGCAGATCCTCCTCCTTCTACACATCTCCTCAACAGAACTTTCACAGATGATAAGAAGTTCTCAACCTCGAATTTGAACGCAAGCCAAAACGTTCGTCATCCTTCCAACGATGTTGAATTCAACAGATCAGGTCGCCAATTGAATTCCGAAACTAAAGAGAACGAGATAGAACTAGAATTTGTTTTCACCCAACAGCCAATTGACCTTGGTCTCGGTCACGTGACCGAAATAATCGGAGTCAACACCCCATACACCACCGTCGTTTATACGGAGAAGCAGGAAGAGATCACGTGCCTGAGGGACATCTCGTGCCTCTTCAACAAGAAAAATGACGGAACGGACCTGCCGGACAACGAAGAGTTTCACCTAGACGTGAAGGAAATTAAAAACGTCGGCGACTTTCCTGTAATCTCTCAAAAGGTCATCAAAAAAACAGACTCCAGGGATTCGTTCGAGAACGATATGCTTCTCGACGGCACGAGATTTGGTTTCTTGACGAGAATCGATTCATTTAAGAGGAAGTATAAAGTACCGACCGTGTATTAAACGATACTTACAATTACGTAAGGGTAAGCGCCGACGATGAACATCGTAACGCGTTCACGTAATTCTATATATTGACTTTTCAAGTATTATTTAAGACGATAAACTCGAAATAAAAAAACAACAAACCAGTGTTATAAAACTTGTTACAAGATAACATAATTTTTTGACGCTTGCGAACAAGTGAATGTCATACAAGAAGTTGAAACGCATATGAAGCAAGAATAGAACTAATCGCTGAAACTTAGAAACAAGAACGCAAACCAATAGTGAATCCACCGATATTAAAAACACAATTTAAAACCAAAAGCGTTGTTAAAATAAAAATGTGCGAATGATGACTTCACTACATCAATTCAAATACATTTACAACTTATCAGTTGGTAGTAAGATTCAAGTTTCCATAGGAGCATAAACATCGCGACAGAATTCAACTGCAATAAAAGTAGCAATTCTGTAACCGTTAAATCACGGAATGGACCAATAATTCATTGAATAAAATCATTTTCACATACGTTTATGCAACTTGATTCAGAAATTCAGAAAATATCTAAAAATAACTGAGGACTCGTGCTCAGAATATTAAACCAATTAAGAACCATTAAAATTATTTGATTCATTATTCAGCTTGAATTCTGACAAGGAAATTCCTGCTAGCCAAGTTTGTTACAAAATCGTAAATAAAAAAACTTGGTGATAATAAAATGAACTACAATATACATGTGAAAATAAAACCAGGAACATTAATAACATTAATTAACAAGCAGACAAGAAAATGATGACGATGATGATAAGGAGGAAGAAGAAGACTACCAACCAATCAAAAAACCAGTCAAATAACCAACCAATCAAATAACCAATCAATCAACCAATCAACCAACCAATCAAATAACCAAATTAATTTACTCAAAGCACAGCCTTCAGCTCAATGTCAAATATCAAGGTGCTGTTCGCAGGAATACTTCCAACTTTTTGAGAACCATATCTAAAAGGGAGAGGAAAAAATAATTCATCATAAATTATGCTAATGGGGAGCACTATACAGGAGGTTATATGCAGTAAATTAGCATAAATTATAATTAAAAAATGTACTGCTTAATGGAAAACTAGTAACAAATGGGTCAAGAGTAACTTTGATATGGATTACTATTTAGTGGGTTACAATGCAATCAATCATAAGTCATTCTACCTGTATTCAGTATTCAACAGAAGTGTCAAAGTCACGAGCCAAATTGATTGAATTAATCATTAATTATGCTAATAAGCTGATTAATAAACCGTTACAAATGTTAATTAATTAAGAAATTAATTATTCTCCCTTTACCCCATTTTTGGAGGAATGGTGATTGTTCTCTTCCCACCAACTTTCATGCCTTTAATAATTATTAAATCATTTATTACATTTATTCATAATATTGAAAACGACCAATCACTATTAATTGATTAACTGCAATGATCATATAATTATTAACAAATAATTAACGACCTTTTTCAAATTAACTCAAAAGATCAGTAGAAACGAGTGAAAGAATGGACAAACAAGTGAATGAATGAATGAATGAATGAATGAATGAAAAGACTAACCATCCAGCCCAACGTCCCATCCTGCAATAACCTCCTTCTTTCCGAGTTTGAACTTGAATGGATTGCCCGTCACACACGTATCAAAAATTTTGCCACTTTGTAACTTGCCCGTGTAGTACACTTTTACCTGTAGTAAAGAGAGAAAATATAACCCATAATAAAATATATTATATTAAAAGTATTAAATTATTATGTATCAATGTATGAAAATAATTATATTGAACGTTGTTGTCATCAAGAAATATTTTGAAAAAAAACCCACTTGCTAATATCAAAATTGAAAACTAAAGAAATAAAATTCAGAAAAATTTTATTTACTAACATGTTTGCCCAACTTGGCCACAGGTCCATGCCCTTCTTTCACCTCCTCAATAATAACCCCACCCTCTGCTGTGACTTTCTTATTTTTGCCGGTAGCTGCTGCTTGCTTCTGATTGGCTGGAGATGCTGCCTGTTTGCTGTCGTTCAATGCTGCTTTGCTGCCATCACTGGCTGCTGATTCGTTGGCGGCATCCTGTTTGTTCTTCTTCTTTTTCTTCTTTTTCTTCTTCTTTCCATCCTCACTTCCTGGAGTCCCAGCTACCGCTGACGCCAAACTCTGTGAGAGGTTACGATGATGATGTTGAGGATGGCAAGGATGCTAACGATGATGATGGTGGTTAAATTATAACGTGATAGTTCGCAACAATGATGATGACGACGCCAGAGATTATGATGACATGAGTATACGATGAAGATGATGATAATGAAGATGATAAAGGAAACAAAAGAGAATCAAAAAGTAATTAAATTTGATTTCACTTTTAACCTTAGATTCATCAGGTTTGGCGTTGCTCTCCTTAGCCTTCTTTCCTTTCTTCTGTTTGGCATTCTGCTTTTTTTTACCACCATCCTCTTCTTCCTCCTCCTCCTCCTCATCATCATCTCCATCACTATCTCCCGCCACTGAAAAGAATTACTACATTCGTTCATAAACAGCCAGTAATCCAGTGGAATACTACCTTCAAGCACTATCATTAATGTGTATCAACACTCACAGACACACACACACTTTTGAAATGAATGAATGACGATAATAATAATAATAATAACAACAACAATAATAATAATAATATGTCTTCTTACTTTCCATTTCATCTTCAAAGTCATCCTCCTTGATTTTTAATTTTTAAATAAATATTATTTATTACAAAAATTTTACTTAATAAAATGTAATACTCCAACTACAATTACTACCATTACAGCTACTACTAGCTACATCCATCATTACTACCATAGCAGTATTTAATATTATCTGACAACAGTTTAAACCAATAGCTACAACTACAATCACAAAAAAATTTGCCACTATTACTACTACTACTACTGTTACTAAAACTACTACTAGTACTACTACATAAGTTATTGCAAACAATACCTAACAACAACCCACCATATCATCTTCGTCGGCTTCCTCGGCTTCATCATCTAGGAAATTCTGTATGTGCGAAGTGCATACATACATACACATAATATACATACACTCATACATACATACATTTACAAAAACACACACACATACACACATAAATACATATACAGAAAATGGTCATTAAGAGAATGATTACTAACATCCATCTTGGCCTTTTTTAAAAGTTTCTTGGACTGTTGCTTAATCTTTCGTTTCCTAGCTTCAAATTTTTAATTATTCATATTGATCTTGGTAATTTTTATTATTCCAAAATCTAATTTTAAAAATTTTTTTGAAAAACATAATAAACTAATTCACCTCGCCTACGCAATTGTAGTTATAAATAAAGAATATTAAAAATAAACCAGTCAAATTACCAGATAGATCTTCAGCTTCCTCATCCTCTTCTTCTTCTTCTTCTTCATCTTCCAGATCATAATCCTCATCATCCTCATCATCACTTGAAAATGCTTCCTCAGGAATGTCATCTTGAAGGACATATCCAGTCAGATGAACTGCAACCTTGCCCTTCGTGTACAGAACAAGTTCCTCGCCCTCCGAGAAGTTCAAGTCCAAGGCTTGCTGGTAGAGGATTCCGGGAACCAGAGAGCAGAGAACAAACTGGGCGTTGTTTCTCTCCAGAATCACAGAAACTGGATCTGTGCTGGCTGTATATGTTTAATTATAATATTATAATCAGAATAAAAATTAGTCAGTTTTTAAGGAAAGAAAAAACAATAATTAAGAATTGTGTCTGAGAAAAATTAGTTTCTTAACCTTTGTTGCTGGGGTCTATGGCAGCCATTGAAATGTGGAAGTTCTTGTCTGGCGTTTGGGTATATTTCTTCCCACTTTCCAGGCAGACGCCTTCATTTTAAATTTTATTTAATTTTGATTTTTTAATATTTAAAAAAATAAAATTAAATTAGTAGACGTTTTCAATATTTCTCTTTTCTTTAATAATATTTCATCAAAATTAACTGACTTCATTATTCATTAGGATTAAGATTAATTTGGGAACATTCATTGAGATATGCATCTCCGAAATAATTTTGAAATTTAAAATCACAACACAAAAAAATCTATGAACACGTGCAAATGGAGCCAGGCAATGTGGCAAAAAACCAGAGGTGGAACCATTTATATTTTTAGTGCCAAATAATTTTTTATTAATTGCACTAACTCACCCCAAAATATATTATTTGCAAGTTCCTTTAGTACGACCATTTTCGACGAATTTTTAACGAAAATGACCCAAAACGAATCCTTTAATTTAAAGTGACAGGATCCGAGAAAAGAGCTTTTTTCAAAAACTTTATTTTCGCCACCAAAGACAATAAAAATAGTTTGGAAATAAAAAATATTTTTGCTACATTCATATATATAGAATATAACATTATTATATATTAATAACATTATTATATATTAATATAACATTACTTTATATTTTACATATACAGCTACAGAATATCAAAGCCATCTACATTTAAAGCAAGAATAGGCCTTGGAAAAATTTTCGCTGTCAATTAAACTTTATTTAAACTACAATTTGGTTAATTTGGCTGCTGTTAAAATGACAAATTGAATTAATATGCATAAACTTTAACTACCAATTCATTATAATTATGCGAATGCTTCCAGGTCAGCCAGAATTTATGTGCTATAGCTCAATTCCTTTTCTAAAACTCCATAAAGGCTTCCAATAGATTTTTTTGCCACAATTTTTAATATTTTTCTCAATTATATAATTACTTTATTTTTATGATCATTATATAAATACTGTATTGTTATTTTTTATTTCAATTTGAAGCCCACTCTATACAGCCCATTTTGGCCTTCATCTCAAATCAGTATTCACGAGATTTTTATGATGTACATTATTTCAAAAACTGCAAATAATAACAACAAAAGTGATAATAAAAATTTTAGTAACAACGCTGTAACAATACTTATGCAACGAGTTCGTATGCTTACGTTTTTTCATTTACATTACTTATTTATACTTTCACACACGCGCGCACATACATGGCACAAACATAGGTAATGACATCAAAATTTTTAAAATTGGATGAGAATGAGAAGTTCGTTACGAAATCGTTGGTGGAAATGACGTCACGTTAACGGTAGTTATTTAACTGTATGATGGTCAATTAGCCAGTATGAACATGTTAAAGTGGGGTCACAAGTTATTTTCTTCAGTTCAGTCGAGCAGCGTGCCTTCACATGTAACAATAATAAACGAAGTTACAATCGAAAAAGTTTTATAATAATAATACGAAGGGCGAAAATAGCAGATCAAACCAGCCAATCAGAGAGCTTCGTTTATGATGACGTCGATGATGACGTGCAGTGGACAGTGTTGATAATGATGGTGTGAGAAAATTTTTTCGCAAATGACCGGATGGTCAGTAGTCTGAATGACCCGCGCGTTCACATACTAATATACATTGGCTACTATTGCCACAGCTGTTGATAATTTTGTCGTCGTGGTTGTTGTTGTTGTTGTTTTGGTTGTGACTGTTATGGTTGTTTTGGTAGTTTTGAAAGTTTTGGTTGTTGTTGTTTTGGTTGTGGTTGTTATAGTAGTTTTGGTTGTTGTGGTTGTTGTTGTTATTAAATTTTTGTCGTATTTAAGCGTATCGCATCACACATTCAAACATCTAAACAATAATAAACAATATAAACTGAAAAGAATGAAAAACAAAACTAAATGATGAAACTAACACACACCCCACACACACATACACATACACACACATACAAACACACACACAAATACACAACTCGCTCTTTAATCAGAATAATAAGAATAACGAAAAAAAAACTCAAACATAGCACCTCCCACATTTCTAAATGTTCATTATGATTGGCTGAAACTTTAAAGCCCCACCTACTTCGAGAAGACCTTATATAAATAGTTGTTCATTTCGGTAGCGCTTGACGTATTTGCATCATCACATATATATATATATATATATATATATATATATATATATATATATTGTAATTATAATATAATTTATGAAAAATTATTTCCTATCTCTTAAACAGCCCATTTTTGCCTGGTGAAAATTCGTTGAGTGAGGATTTAAATGGTATTAAGTTTCTTAATCAAAGAGGATTAATGTATAACTATTTATATATGTGTATATATTATTGTTTATATATGTCCGTATGTAAAAATATATAAATAAATAAACAAATGTAGAAATTGTTTTTTATAATTAAACAAGTATCTTAATCTCCACTTCTTAAAGACGCTTGTTTGTATTTGTAAATTTTTTTTCATAACATTTGATGGTATGTATGTATACCAGAGTGACATATATGTGTCATAATTAATATATATATATATATATATATATATATGTGTGTGTGTGTGTGTGTGTGTGTGTTATATATACATATAACAACACAAACACACATATATATCTATAAGTTGTATATCAAAAAATAATTTTGAATTCTTACCAGGTATGTTAATGTTGCTATTACGATCTTTAGTATAAAATTTCGAGATTCTGAAAACAAAGTTTAAACATTGGGATGGTTAGTACTGTTGTTTATTTATTAATATTAATGTTATTAATGGATGGATGTATGGATGGATGAATGAATGGATGGATGGATGTACGGACGGATAGATGAAGGGATGACTGAATGAGTGAGTGAGTGAGTGAGTGAGTGAGTGAGTGAGTGAGTGAGTGAGTGAGTGAGTGAGTGAGTGAGTGAGTGAGTGAGTGAGTGAGTGAGTGAGTGAATAAGTGAGTGAATAAGTGAGTGAGTGTGTGAGTGAGTGAGTGAGTGGATGAGTGAGTGAGTGAACGAATGAACGAAAAAACAAATGAATTAATTAATTAATGAACGAACGAATGAATGAACGAACGAATGAATGTTGAGTCATTATTCTTTAAATGTATCTTTATTTCATTAATTTTTTTTTCATTTTTTTATTTTTATTTATTGGTCCGGTGTCAAGTGAAGACAAAGCATTTCATGTACACTTTCTCACATATTAATATCGGAGTACCTTTATTTTTCGAACGAAATATGAATGTACAATAACACAAACACACACTCACACAAACACATACATACACACATACATACATACACACACATACATACATACATACATACACATACATATATACACATATACATACATACACACGCATACACCAACTTTTACTTAATATATCTTGCAAATATTTGACAAAAAAATAATGATATAACGGGTTTTTTGGTAAATGTGCTATGCCATTTTACTTATGATGTGTGTGTATGTGTGTGTGAGTGTGTGTGTTTATATGTGTGAGTGTGTGTGTGTGTGTGTGTTTTCAATGTTTTCATTATTGAGGTGTGTTAAGAATTCGATCGAATTTTCGTTATGCCAGTAGTCGTCGTCGTAACGATTGAATGAATCAATGATTGATTGAATGAATAGATGAATGAATGCACGAACAAATGAATAAATGAATGGATAAATGAATGAATAAATGATTGAATGAATAAAAGAATGAAATAATTGCTATTTTACCAGATCACATAAACTGTTGCGTTTTCATGACATAACATACTCATGAATTTTCACAACAGACAGACGTGCATTAAAAATATTATTTTCATAATACAATTTATAAATCAATGTTTACAACTTTAAATTATGATTTTTTTCTCTCTCTCTCCCTCTCTCTCTCTATATATATATATATTTTTCATTTATTTTTTGATCAAATTAATACACCGTAATAGGTATTTATTACGAATTCCCTTTCGTCATTCTGTGTTAGCTGCTATTAATTTTCAGCGTTTTCAACGATACGATTCGATATGATACAATAAAATTCGATTCGATACCGTGCAATCCGAAACGAAACGAAACGGCACCGTGTAATATAAATTCCTTTGTTGCTTGCATGCGATTCGGTTCATTCGCCATTATTTATTGGCTATGATCTCAAATACTTTAAATAGCTTTTTATTGTTATGATTGCGTTGTTATTGTTGTTGTTGTTGTTGTTGCTCTTTTTTTCCTTATTATTATTGATTAGTTGTTATCGTTAAAACTATTTACCAATACAACAGAGAAAAAGCTTCTAATTGAAAATTGAAATGAAGCCAGTTAATTCGAAGTCGACGTCATCATCTTTACCCTCACTATCACCATCATCATTATCGTCATCGTCATCATCATCAGCAGCAGCAAGGACATCATCACCATCGTCTAAAACACCGACAACAATGACAAAATTATTTTCGGCGATACTTCTGTCGATACTCATTTTTCAACAACCCATACAAGGTAAGCGAAAATAATAATAATAATAATAACAATAATAACAAAATAACAATAATAAAAATCTTCATCATCTTCATCATCATCATCGTTCTTTAACCTCTTTAACCATACTTCTTTTGGTTTCCTATTGAAATCCAACCTACATCCAAACATGATAAACTGATACACACCATATACAGGCAATGTAACGCAAAAACACACATACATACGTACACACAAACACACACATACACATGCAAACATATGTACATACAAACAAACACATACACACGAACACACATAGACATCCAAAGGTCACACGTACAAACTAAGGTCAGAAGATCAAGTGCTGAAATCTTGACCAATGAATGAATGACTGAGTGAATGACGTCATTGTGATGTATTTAGCCCATACGTCATGTGACTATTTTAAACAGCCGCTCTATCAATCATAATTTTTACGGCCATTTTTAAAATTAATTTTAGCATAATAATTTTTATTAAATATTATATTACTGAATATCAAAAATTTAATAACCAGTTGATTGATTGAGAAATGTTCGTTCGTTCTTTCGTTCTTTCGTTCGTTTGTTTGTTTGTTTGATTGTTTGTTTGTTTGATTGATTGACTAATTAGTTGATTGGTCGATTGCTAATTAAAACATGATTGGTAGGTCGTTCTTCAATCGCTCAATTGAAAACGAATGAATCATACACTCTCGTTAGGACGATCGTTTAGTTTGGTTCTTCTTAGGAATTAACAAATCTCCGATCGCTTTGATTGCACAGGTGACACGTGATCCATAAACACACGCACACACGCGCACACTCACTCACTTACTTACGCACACACGCACACACACAAGCAAAAACAGAGATTTGATATTTACTATGGATGATAATAATGTTTGCATGTTTAACTATGGGTTTATGTGTCTAACTCTCTGCGTATAAAAATAATTATTTTTTTAATTAGACACATGTACTAATACACACCCACACACGCGCGCGCGCGCGCACACGCACACACACACAAAAACACACACGCATACATGTATGTATGTGTGTTTTTGCAAAAATACTTAATTATTGATAATTACACTTACGGACTTGTATAAATCATTGATTCAAATAAATGCATGTACGAGAAACACACACAAAATCACACACATACACTCATTCATACACACACGCACACACACGCATACACGCACGCACACACACACACGCATACACGTAATGCATAAGATTCATTGGCAAATATTGGCTCTTAATATCAAGTGGATAATTTGTAAACAATAAAAAATACTGGACCATGATGATGATGACGATACTGAAGAAAAAGAAGAAAAAGAAGAATATGATGATGATGCTGTTGTTGTTGATGCTGATGATGATTGCGGTAATGATAATGATGTAAAAACCGTGTTAATACTGTTGAAGCACGTGACATGCGACCTTTTATGACCTTTCATTTCGTTCTTGCTGATGCTACTACTACTGCTACTTTTACTTTTACTACTTCTACTACTACTACTACTACTAATATTACTACTACTATAATACTATTGATACCACTGCTACTGAATGAACAAACGAATGAGGAACAAACAAACAAACAATAAACGAACAATTAAACAAACGAACGAATGAATGAACAAACGAGCAAAAGAACAAACGGGCGAACGAGCGGTTAAACGAACGAATGAACAACTGAACAAACGAAACAAACACATTAAGAATGAAGAGCGTCAGACAGTGCCATCTTACGAAATTATTTGTTCGACCTTCTCAAATGTTTACAATCATCTCCATCTTTTATTGTTCACCAAACTACTTATCTCTGTAGCATCATGGGTACTGTCAAATCCCATTCTTATCTTCCTCAACTTCCTCATCACCATCATCGTTGTCGTCATCATCACTATAGCCATCACCACCATCATCATCATCATTATCATCATCATCATCTTTTTCTTTATTACAATATTTTTCTTCGTCATCCAGACTATTCATTTTGTCAAATTTTCTTCCATTTGCAATTAATTATAAATAATAATAATAATAATAATAATAACATGCAGGCTTTTATACGTGCCAACCAAATCCTTGTATGAACGGCGGATCATGTGTCCTGGGATCCGGATACATGGGAGCCTATTGCAAGTAAAGACTATTATTATTATTATTATCATTATTATTATTATCATTATTATTATTAATATTATTATTATTATTATTATTATTGTTATTATTATTATAGGCGTTGTTAATATATCAATTGATAAGTAAACACGCACACACACACATGCGCACACACGCACACTAACGCATACACACATACATTAAGTCGCATTGTCATGCTGTATTGTATTGTATTGTATGTAATGTAAGGAGATGTAAGCATTGTATGTAAATGTCAATTACATTGTTGTCTTAATGGATGAAGACATTCTTACCAAGGCACTTTGAAACGATAAATCATCGATTGGCTGCTGTATTTTTTGCTTATTTTGTATATTTCTTCTCAATAATTTTCATTATTATTCTGTGTTTTTGGCAATGGTTTATGTTGTTTTTCTTTTGATTTTTTGTAAGTTCTTTTGTCTATTTGTGTATTTTGTTTTTGTTGCAAATGTTTATTCATTTTAGAGATTTATTAATAAATTTGATTTAATTAGGTAATAAGATGTTTGTTGTTTTGTTGGCATTGTTTGATTTGAATTCCAGGCTTGATTATTGTGCCTTTAATGTGTATGTTTTGTATTTGTATACACATATACATGTGTGTATCATGTTTTTTAAACATTGTAATGTATTGTTTTGTATTGCATTGTATGTATGTATGTATGTATGTATGTATGTATGTATGTATGTATGTATGTTTGTTTGTTTGTTTGTATGTATGTATGTATGTTTGTATGTTTGTTTGTATGTTTGTATGTATGTATGTATGTATGTATGTATGTATGTATGTATGTATGTATGTATGTATGTATGTATGTATGTATGTATGCTTGTATGTATGTATGTATGTATGTATGTATGTATGTATGTATGTTTGTATGCTTGTTTGTATGTTTGTATGTATGTATGTTTGTATGTTTGTTTGTATGTATGTATGTATGTTTGTAT